TGTGTATAAGAGACATCTCTTGGGCATCTATCACGGCCTCCCTGCATACAGCCCCTTCCCGGCAGCCTTGTCTCATCCCCGCTGTGTTTTCCAGGAGTGCTTCCCTGCCTGAAAGATGTCCTGCTCCAGCCTGTGCAACACGTCCTGTGGGGTGGCCGCCCCGGCCCCGCTGGCCGACACTTGCAATGAGCCCTGCGTGCGGCAGTGCCCCGACTCCACGGTGGTGATCCAGCCCCCGGCCTCGGTGGTCACCTTCCCCGGGCCCATCCTCAGCTCCTTCCCGCAGCACAGCACTGTTGGCTCAGCGGGAGTGCCCGCCGTTGGATCGGGCTTCGGCGGCAGTTTTGGAGGCCGTGGTGGCTATGGGGGCTCTGGGGGCTGGGGTGGCTATGGAGGCTGGGGTGGATACGGTGGTTATGGAGGCTATGGGGGTTATGGGGGCTGTGGATATGGCGGGTGGAACAGAGGCCACAGATACCTCAATGGCAACTGTTCGCCCTGCTAAGCCCGACTCTTGTTCCGGGCACACACAAATGCCGGATCTGGAAAATGCCCAGGCAAATCCCGACACAATACTCTGTGAAGGACGTTCCTTTGGTACTGCTGGACTCCCGAGCTTGGATACCTCCTGCCTGCCTGGAGCAGAACTCTGCCTTCCTCCTGCCCTGCTTCAGCATCCCGTCACGATTCATTGCTTCCTGACGACAGAGACCTCCACTGGGCGCCTTCTCCTGAGTCACAGCTGATTCTCGTACTCTGCCCACTGCCAGGGAAGGTGAAATCTCTGCCCGGGCCCCTGCTCTTCTCCCAACTTCCCCCCACCCCTCCAACTGCAATAAAAGCTGTGTTGCATCGCAATGTCGACCCATTGTTTTTCTTCATCCTTCCTGCTCTTTTCCACTTCTTTCAAAGATGAGGTTGTGTCAGTCTGGGCAGCTTAAATCTCCCACGGTTGTGCCCTTGGATCATATCGGCAGTTTGCTCAGTTTGTCACAACGGATGATGGCGGCCCCAGCTGGGTCTTACAGAGCACACGCCACCGAGCATCCTCTGGTCTCTGACCAGCAATTAGCAAAACGCTTTCCCAAATCCCACACCAAATATGTGAAAGTGCCGTAGGTGTCCTGCAGAAGCTCTTCCAAATCCTCTGCAAAAGAACAATGCCAGGTATTATCTCCTTTTATTGGCTTTTTAACAAACACACGTGGAGGTGCAGGGAAATGGAGAGATGACCACTGCGTGTACAGGGCTGCTGGTCATACCCCTGTGCCCAGGGTTATGGGATGTGGGGTGCACTGGGAAAGGGTGAGAGAGACGCTTCCAGGTCTTGCCCAGATTCCTCTCAGAGCCATGAAGAGGCCATGGATAGCCAGTGACATGAAGTACAAAGCTCTCTGAGCAGGAAATTGGACAACAGACCCTCCTGAGACCCCTCCCTTCCCTTCCTCACTTCTCTTTGGATCTTGTGAGCCCAGCATGGCAACGTTGTCTTGGACACAGACAGTTCTGGCCAGAGCCATCAGGAAGGGCCGTGTGACAGGAGGCTGGTCCCTGCTGGGGAGCTCAAGAAAAGATGTTTCTTCTGCAACTGTGGATGCAGAGGATGGGAAAAAAGGCAGAAAAATATCAAGAACAGACATTTGTTTTTTTCCACCACCTCAAATGAAACTTACACATTTTCTCTTCCCCTCAAGGCTTTTTCAGTCTTTTCCCATCCCCATGTGTGGCCAGGTCCCCCTGCACGGACTCTCATCCATCCATCAGGTCCTGACTCATGTGGTGTCCCCTGTGTGTTTGCTGTGGGCACAGTGGTGGAAGGCGGTTCTGGAAACCCTGCCATGGCTGCTGTGACTGGGTGCTTTCTGGGACTGTGGCAGTGTGGGCTACTGTGTGGGCTGGTGAGCAAGGAAAGACAGCAAAGGACCAGCAAATCCTGGTCCAGACTGGTGGGCTCTGGGAAGCTCTCCTGTCATTCCTGGGTGAAGCTGTGACCTCAGGGATTGCCAGGAAGAGCTTCTGCTCCTGATGGTGCCAAAAGTGCTCCGGGGAACACTGGAGGATGGAGGAAAACTAGGACAAGGAGGTGGTGCAGGGGTGAAGGAATGTGGAGTGGATGGAGGCCTGGCATTTGGGATGTGCTATACGTTGCTCACCCTTTCTCTCACCTATCAGCTCTGGCCTCCCCCATGGCTCTGACCTGCGCTTTGCCATCTGAGTGGCTCCACTGGCGCCCCAATCCCCGCAGCCCTGGGGCTATGGGCAGCCTGTGGGAAATGGGCAGCAAAATCCTTTTGGGAAGACCAAAGAGGTCTTCTTGGGCTGCAGAGGGCAAGAGCTCAAAGTGGGGAGAAGACAGGGAGGGCAGATAAGGAGACGTTCTTGTTGAAGGAGATGAGCACAGCCCCCGCTGCATGCAACCATCTGGTGGAGGAATTTGTCTCCAAGGGCGGGCAGGAGGAAGAAAGGCAGCTCTTGCAGGTGCCTCTCAGTCGGACCCATCTGGGAGATGGCTGTGACGGCCCAGGGAGCAAAGGCTGTCACTCGGGGTACAGGGTATGAAGGAGGGATGAAATTAAACCATGGGTCGACACTGCAGTGCAACAGAGCTTTTATTGCAGTTTGAGGAGAGGAGGGATTGGGGAGAAGAGCAGGGCCCTGGCAGAGGGCAGCCCACATCTGGCAGCAGGCAGAGTGACAGTGATCATCAGCCGTGCTGCAGGAGCAGGCACCCAGCACGGGGCTGCATCATCAGGGGCAGCAATGAGTCCTGAAGGGAAGCTCAAGCGGGGCAGGAGGAAGGCAGAGTGTGGCCCCAAGCAGGCACGAGCTCTGGAGCCCAGCAGTGCCACAGGGATGTCCTTCCTTCGGGCGTCATCTTGGGCAAGACTGCAGTCGTCTGTGGCCGGAGCAAGTGTGGGGCTTAGCAGGGCGAGCAGTTGCCATTGAGGTACCTGTGGTTTCCACCCCAGCCACCAATTCCACAGCCCCCACAGCCCCCGTAGCCCCCCCAGCCACCATAGCCTCCATAGCCTCCCCAGCCTCCATAGCCCCCATAGCCTCCCCATCCTCCGTAGCCACCACGGCCTCCAAAACTGCCGCCGAAGCCCGATCCAACGGCGGGCACTCCCGCTGAGCCAACAGCGCTGTGCTGCGGGAAGGAGCTGAGGATGGGCCCGGGGAAGGTGACCACCGAGGCCGGGGGCTGGATCACCACCGTGGAGTCGGGGCACTGCCGCACGCAGGGCTCATTGCAAGTGTCGGCCAGCGGGGCCGGGGCGGCCACCCCACAGGACGTGTTGCACAGGCTGGAGCAGGACATCTTTCAGGCAGGGAAGCACTCCTGGAAAACACAGCGGGGATGAGACAAGGCTGCCGGGAAGGGGCTGTATGCAGGGAGGCCGTGATAGATGCCCAAGAGGCTTCCAAGAGCTGGACTTACCCAGGTGATGAGGAGAGTCCAGCAGAGGAAGATGGATAGAGGCTGCAGAGCCCTCAGCTCTTTTATACACATCCCAGACCGCCCGGGGCAGCAGCCAAGGGGGCGGCCGTGGAATCCCCACCTAATCATGCAATCCATTGGTCAAGC